GTAAATACATCTTTGCTTTTAGAAGTCGGCTTGAGCAGAAACCACCAGTTGGTCTTTCCATGTAGTTTCATTGGCAAACTGTAGTTTTGCTCTGATGTTCTTTTTGGACAACAAAGGGTTTTTTTTTTCCTGGCCAGCTCATGCAGCTCCAGTTGTGCAATCTCTTTCTGATTGCAGACTCATGCACTTTGACACAAGCAAGAGTTACTTGCAGTGATGAAATTTCGGGGTTCTTGGAGACTTCTGTCTGCATCGAATGGCTCTTGAGCAGGATTTGCTGAGGCAGCTAGTCCCGGACAAACTGGCTTGAAATCAACGCTACTTGTGCATGTTTTTCCTCACAGTGGACTGATTTATGTCAAATAAGTCGGAGATCTGTTTGAATTTCCTGTTCGACTCATAGGCACGATGGCACCACATTCAAAGAGAACACTGTCCCTCCCTAAAGGCTCTGGAGTGGCATGGGGTTGGTATTACACACAGCTTTGCAGGAACACGTCCACTTGTTGTTGCTGCCTGCTGCCTCTTGACAACAGTGTCCAAAATATGTGGAACAACTGCAAATGCTGCTTTTGTTCATGTCCGTTGTTTTTGTCCTTTTCCTGTTGCCCCTGTCACGGAGAAGACAGAAGTCATTGTGGAGTCTGGTGGAGTGAAACAGAGTGATAAAAATAATGGATGGACTACAGAGAGCAGGCCTGTCTCATCAGCAGTCACAAGCAGTGCTTATAAACACATGCGCTGCTCATCGTACTGAGAGGACCCTTTCCTTTCTAATCCAACATTTCAGTTAATCAACATTCAACAAAAACACGGGGCATGTTGGAGGACGCCGGCACGGAACCGTAACTCCACCTGCAGGAAATTCTAATTGTTGGAAACTGATCTGGAACACCTGGAAAAAGTGCTTAAAAATCAGATTTAAACAGTTTTAATGATGCTTTATGATCAATCCTGGCCTGCAAATACAGTCGTGACTCGATAATCCGACACTAAATGTAAAACCTTCTTTCATGTCGGATAGCAAAGCTGTCGGATTGTCTAGACGGAGGTCGAGATACAAGGAGGGCTTGATGCTGGAAGGCTCATTAGTTGTTAATATTTATTGTTCATAGTTGTTATCGTAACTGGTGTATTGTTAGAACACTACGCATCGCTGGATTTCACGCCTAATTGACCGGTGCGATTGTACACGTTACAGCCAATTCCATCCCGTTGGAGCGCTCTGACGGGGTGGAAGTGGCCAAAACGCACAGGCAGTACTTGGCTGCTGATGCTAGTTTAGTTAGTGGTCAAGTTCTGTTTCCAACATCGGCGGCGGCGGCCAGGGAGTTTCAGATACGCTCCACCGTTACCATCCGTGTTTACTTCCATAAACTCTGAGCACGCTCACAGTGTGTGACGCCATCGTGTCCTCTCATGTGCATGCGGGACACTTTTTGGTCGTATGAAGTTCACACAGCAGATCACATACAAGTCGCATTTAAATGGAAATGCGAACGAACTCGCAAAAAAATCCAAATTGAGCATTAAGTCCTGCAGTGTGAACGTAGCCAATCTGTGGGATTGTTCAGTCAGATAATACGCCGTTATCCTGATTTATGACATAAAATGTCATGTCGGAGTCAGAATCCAAGGCTGTCGCTATGCTACGGCTGTCTTTTATGGGTTCTGTTCATTTTTCCTACAATCTGTCGGATAGCAAGGTTTTGGATTGTTAAGGGTCAGATTATCGAGTCACGACTCTACTGTCTTAACAAGTCCAACCTGTTAACTATGTTCCCCTTTAAGGTTGTCTCATCCGTCTTTTTATTGATTGAATTGATTGAGGTGCTACTTATACATAGATCTTTTTCTTGTGAAGCAGTTTCTCTTAAGCAGCACACTGCCTCATCATTACACCATTAGTTCTGCAGATAGATAAGAAATAAATAGCTGAAGTTCCACTGAGGAGCGGCTAAAGCTGATACATCACGGTTTCTATATTTAAAATTTTAATCAGAAAAAGAATGTGTGACTTATCGGAAATGAAAGTATAAGAAGACACATCAAAGACTTCATAATGTTCCTTTCTGGAGATTTTTTTTGGGGAGGATGTGCAGGATTAGGCAGAGGGGAGTTCGAAGGAAACCCCAGAACAGCGATAAGTGGAAATTTTCCAGAAACACACCATTAGGCTTTATGAACATGAAAATATATTTAACTTTCTCCTCAGACAGCTTTCATGCAGAGATTATTTGATTTGATTCACTTATTGCAAAGCACTGTTCCATTTCTTAGAAAAAAATCTTTTAACCTGTCCATTGTCCCATCATAATTGCCAAACTACGCACTGGTATTACTGGAAAAACCTGTGACTGTATAAAACGTGAGACCTTTAATGGATTAAATCTAAAAGTTCTGGATCAGATGAGGTTCTTAGAATCTTAGAATTAAAAGTCAGTCAGTTTGAGTGAGTCAAAAGCAACAAAACAATGTTTGAGAGAACGCCCCGAGGAAATCCCCGAATGATCAGAATCTCATGAGTGACTTCTCATTCCTACATTTACCTGTGAAGGATTTCTATGCCAGAAGCTGACGGTTTACTGGTTGTGCACAGTGTTAAAGGCTTCATTTAAATGTGTGCATTGGCCATATTCATATTAACTGCTTTCTGGGACAAAGCTTGAAGGCACCAAATGAAGGTAAACTTGCAGAGCCGCCGGCCACAAATGCAGTTGGTGGTAGTGATGTGAAATTAATAGATAAGTCAGCAGAGACACAAACTGAAATTTGCAGTTGACCCGTTTATTAGGCAAAACCAAAGTGCGGGGCCTGCACGCAGCTGCTAACACTTGAATGCTATTTAACTTATTGTGCAAGATGCATCAGTGAAACATGAAAACCTTTTTTTACAAGAATGAGGACCTGGAGGCCTGGAGGAGTTGCAACCTTCACAGTAAGAGAAAGGCGTGTGGTGGAGACTTCACGGTCAGGTGTGCTCAGCAGA